GGATAGGCTCCGCCCCCCCGACCATATTAGGGGATAAGAGGTTATGAGGATGGATGGATGTTTGTGATGCTTATACATAAATCAGAAACTTTTACATGGTGTCTGTCTTTATGATACAATGAAGGGAATCTTGAATAGATCGCTAACAAACTTGTAATTATTCCAAAGTCCACAAAATGTGAGGAGGGGGGGATTCATTACATTTTTCTGGCCCTTCTATTTCAAATAGACATCAAACAGCATCCAACATCCTTCAGATGTAGAGCATCCCTTAGCATGAGGACAATGAGAAAAATAGAAGAGTTACAGTGATTTGATTCCATCAAACTCAACCCAACTTTATTTCTATTCCATTATCTCATTATTACAAACAACACTGGCCACCTTTGCACAATATGAGGTTTGATTCACAATCACACTGACAATTTTCCTACAATTTTCATTATAAATCTAGAGAGAGACAAAAATGGTAATATAAAGCTTTTAGAAATATATTTTATAAATCTCCAGATCATTTGTACCTCATGTACTTTAAAAGTACTTTTGATGAAGAAAAGCAGTTGAGAAAACAAATATGATCTTGACATTTTTTCACAACTGATCCCTGAACACATGACAATAAAAGGTAGATAAAAGTAAAGTGTCATTAAAAATCTCGTACATAGCAGAAAGAATAACTCTCCATGACAATCAAACTGACTATTTTCCAACTATTTTCAAAATAGATCTAGAAAGAGAGAAAAATGTTAATATAAAGCATTTAGAAATATATTTTATAAATCTCCTGATCATTTGTACCTCATGTACTTTAAAAAGTACTTTTGATGAAGAAAGGCAGTGAGAAAACAAATATGATCTTGACATTTTTTCACAACTGATCCCTGAACACGACAATAAAAGGTAGATAAAAGTCAAATGTCGTTAAAAATCTCGTACATAGCAGAAAAAATAACTCTCCATGAGGCAGTTTAGGTATTAGGCTGAACTCATCACATGTAAAAAATAAAACCATCTCCTTCTTCAGGAACTGCAAGCAGGCAGCATTTAATTTGTAAGTCTGAAAGCTGACACAAAACAAATGTAAAACTACTAAAGACTTTGTTAAAATCGTACTCAAACCCTAACCCAGTGCTTCTCAAATATTGAGGCGATACCTGGGGAACAGCCGTTTCTTTTTTGGCCGTTCTAGTATAAAGTGTAATAGCACAAACACTCCATTAGGGGGCAGTGGCGCTCTCATCGCTACTTCGGTGAAACATTTTACGACTTAAAGATGACAGGTTAGCCTCGGTTAGCATCTGTGTTCTGTCTATAGCCTCCGTTATTCAACATAACGGAGGCTATGTTTCCAACATGGAAAAGTTTTTAACAGGATGAAAAGAAAAACGGAAAGAGACAAAGATAACGAGACAAAAAAAAGTCACCCGAAAGCTAAGTGTTTTATATATTGTGCTCCTGAGTTAATGTTGCTTAACTGAATATAACTTAGTTATTATTTTTGTAGTTTATTAGTTATTATAATTATTAAATATTATTTATTGATTTGATTTAATTTTGCAACGGTGCAATTAGTTGGTCAAACATGTTTACAGTATAAACAAGGATTTAATTATTTTTAATTCCAGGCATTGATGCACTTAAAATCTTTTCTGTTGCAGACTTAAAAAACACGATTTAATAAAGTTATTCTTTGGAAGTTTGACCATATGTGGATAGTCACGGTGGGGAGTGGGAGGGGCGTGAATAGTTTTCTTCTTGCTAGAAGGGGGGCGTAACAGAGAACAATTGAGAAGCACTACTAAAGACTTTGTTAAAATCGTACTCAAACCCTAACCGAACAGAAGACGGGTCCCTCGGCGCTGGACTGAGATTTGGTTGGCCTCGGTCACGGCCCCCTCAGACGTGTAGTCCTTCAGCAGATGTCTCCATGTTGTGGTGCACCTCAGCAGCTTCTGGTTCCCTTTGGTAGAGGCAGAGAACACACGTTTATTCTGGACTTACACCTGGACACTAGGGGTGGGACGGTTCACAAAATCCACGGTTCGGTTCGGTTCACGGTTTTCGGTTCGGTTCGGTATATGTTGATTGTTAGGAAAATCTATTATGTCTTGTATAGTCAATCAATCAATCAATCAATCAATCAATGATTATTTATATAGCACTTTACAACAACTGGAGCTGATCAAAGTGCTCAACAGAATACAAAACAGATCAAACTATCGAAATATACAAAGACAAACACATCGGTGACAGAACCCAGTATACAGAGACCCTACGTGCAGAAAGCCATCCTGAACAAATACGTTTGAAGTTGAGCTTTGAACAGAGGCAGGTCGGTAAATGAACGTAACTCAGTTGCAGAGAGTTCCACAGTTTAGGTTAAAACTGAAAGAAAAAAGCAGTCTGACATGTGATCCATTATTGTGACAGTCTGAGGTTTAAAGTAGGTGAGATTCTGCCAGAGAGGAAACAGTGCTAATTCCAACATGTGCTTCCCTCTAAATGCAAACTGGTCCATACAGCAGACCTAGAAACTGCTGCTGGTCTGGTTTTTATGGGCTACGCTGCTTCTTCTTCTTCTGGTTTCCTACTGGTGGCTGGCTTTGGGCGCAGTAGCGCCCCCTTCTGCTCTGGAGTGTAAACGCTTCCCTCTGAGAAAAAGGAGCAGCAGGAACCCAACCAACACACGCCAACCCAACCCAGACAGAACCCAACGGTTCAGACGGTTTTCAGAAACCCTCCCATCCCTACTGGACACCAGCCAGGGACAGCTTTCACATTTCAACAGAACGGAAAAATCTAAGTCTGTTGAACTACGGAGACCTTCTGGACCATGAGATGGTCCTGGTTCTGCAGAAGACATGATAGGACTCGTCCTGCATGGAGGAATTCCAGATCCAGTTTTTTGCACATCCGATCCGATCCCGGCCTATCAGAGCATGTGTTAAAGTCTAAAGTTATTTATCTACTTACTTAGTTGTCAGACTCATGTTGAACAGGGATTTACTCTGATAACAACTTAATGGTTAGGACACAGACCTGTGGGTTAAAGATGCTAATGCTAATACTCGTATGGGATCTGACTTTTCTCCTATTTTTGAGAATATCAGCGGCCGATTCGATCCAGATATAATATATAAAGCCTAATCCGGACTCCCGATCCAGTTTAAAAAAAAAAAAGTTTGTCTGATTCCACACAAGCATTAGCATTAGCATTAGCATCTGTAACCCACAGGTCTGTGTCCTAACCATTA